ACACTTGTTTAAAGTTTTGTTACAATTAATAATGTTAAAAGGAGAATGGCTTGTGGTTTATTTTCTAAATGCCATCAGAGAAACATGGCATGACTAAAAGTTTAAGATCTTATATGTACTGTGTTAAAATGGATTATTTAATATATCTATGTATGTACTGGATCCTGTTATTAATCCCTTAGTGAAATCTCATCCTCTTTGTGAGGAAATTAATAATGAATTAATGTAAAGTATGAAACACTGGGTTCTGATGTGAATTTCTTGAACATGACAATTGGTCATGATTTCAATTTTGAGTTTGTAAAAAGGATCAGGGTTATAAGGACTAAAAATAGCAATTTAAAATGGTGCTAAGATCACTTTTGTAGGAGAATGGACAGAAAGTTCCTACAAGAAGATAAGAAGAAGATGCTGAGATGCTGTGCTGGAGATGGCTGGAACAAATACCAAGGACCAGAGGACTTTCATTGGTGATGTTCCCTGCCAGATAGCTGCATAAGAAAAGACTTTTTGAATCTTAAAGGGACAATTGCATTATTATTGTTTTCTTTTAAGTCTCTGTATCTGTATTATGAAGGGGCTGCCCCTTTGATTTGTCAATGCCTATATTTACTTAAAGGGGTGATAGAAAGAGAGAAGAAAAAGAGCTGAGAAGAATTTAAATTCAGATTTAATGTGAAAAGTGCTGAGTGTTAAAGCTATCATAAGAATGATAATTTCTATATGTGATTACATGAAAATGCAATGATGTTATCTTAAGTTTATTGTTAGTATTACAAAAGTTATTACTGTTTCTAAATTGTATTGTATTTCTAAAACACTTAGATTGTAAAATTTGAGGAAATTATTATCCTACTCCCAGTGTGTCTCCCCTGCATGCAGGACTCCCTGTCCCATTTTGGTTAAGATAGAAGGGAAAGAAATCAAGCTGATGGTTCTCAAGAGCCAGGGTTGAGTGCCAATTTGAGACCACCCTGATGGTTACTAAGATTTAGGGGGATGTGAGAAGTCTTCAGATAGTATAAAACAAGAGGAGGGATTGAATGGGATGTCCCAGCGAAGACTTCTCAGTGTAATTAAGGTTTGGGGTAAGACTATCCTAAATCTGGTAATAAGTTCAGGAGGTAGGATAGGATTAAGTATAGATTTCTGTAAGGTTTTTTTTAGCACCATATATCAGTAGTTAAAATTTGTCTAGTTGTTAAGCCTTAGCCTACCTTTCAATCTTATTCAGATGCACCTTTGCCCTTTGCCCTAAAAGAATCTGGCTCCAGAAAGCCCTTAAAAGGTTCTTTATCTACTCCCCTTATCTCCCTTTGAAAGGACCTTATTCAGATGCCTTCCAGTTCCCTCCATTATCTATTCCCATTGTCTATTCCACAGTACAAAGTCTAGCTTGACTGCACATTTTTTGCTTCTTTGACGTTATCTCAACAAACTAAGAAATATAGAGACAGTTGGTGGGAGGAGGGATTTGCCCATTAGGGCTATTTAATCTGGTTCTCTGCTTCTGTGTCTTTGTCTCTCCTCATCAGAGCATACTGGTGGAGGGACACTCAAATCTAGAGTTCTGAAATAAGAATAATAAATTAACTTTCCGTTTCTCTTTGGATACCTCTGTGTTTTTTTTTTTAATTTGAGTGGCATCCCACATGGGGAAGAAAGAGAAATTTCCTGTTCCTCTCTACAGCAGGGAATCTCTTCCACAAAGTAGTCCCTGGCTTGTACTCCATCAAACTCCTAAATTCTAGGGATTAGCTGATTAAATTCCTGCAAATGCATATCCAACGTTCTCTTATCCAAAGAAGTTGTTCTGTTTAATTTACCCAAAGGGCCTATTTGCTTATTTGCCTATTTCCTCTGGCATGCTCACAATTTTGGGGCTTTATCATTGGCCCCTTTTCTGTGACCAGGCCTTGAAAGGCTTTTGAAACCAATTTCTCTATTGTTGTTCAGTCATATCCTACTCTTCCTGACCCCATTTGGGATTTTCTTAGCAAAGATACTGGAGTGGTTTGCCATTTCCTTCTCCAGCTTATTTTACAGATGAGGAAACTGAGGCAAACAGGGTGAGGTGACTTGCCCAGGGTCACACAGCCAGTCACATTTGAACTCAGGAAAATGAGTCTTCCTGACTCCAGACCTGGAGCCACCTAGCTGCCCCTAGATTACATAGATACAAAAACACTTTGCTCTAAAACAAAACAAATCCCTGCAATCAAAGAGGAGGAGAGCAGTCATGAACACAGATAATTATGTTCCAAGGGAGATAACTGTAAAGGTTATCCTCAAAATATTATAAGAAATTTGAGGGGGCAGCTAAGTGGCCCAGCAGACAGAGCTCTGGCCTTGAGTTCAAATACAGCCTCAGATACTTGACACTTACTGGCTGTGTGACCCTGGGCAAGTCACTTAACCCCAATTGCCTCAGCAAAAAGGAAAAAAAAGGAAAAAAGAAATTTGAGGAGGAAAAGATCATTTTCACCAGAGGGGAGTTGTTCTCAGGGAAGATTTGATGTGACATCTGAGGTGGATTTTGAAAGAAGGAAAGGATTTTCAAAAAAATGGAGATTAGGAAAGTCATTCCAGGAATGGGGGAGGGGCGTGGATTATGTGAGCAATTATATGGACACAGGAAAAGGCAGAGGAAAAAAAAAACAGAGGGTAAAGAGTAATCCAGTTTGGCTGAAACATAATATGTAAAAGAAAGTAGCCCAAAAAAAGCCTAGAGTAGTTACACAATGCAGGCATTTGTTTTGCTTGACCATGCATATTTGTTACAGGAGGTTTTTCTTCCCTGTTTTATGAGGGGAGGCAAGACAAAGAGAAAATAAATGTTAGTTAATTTTAAAAAATAAAAGTTACATAAAAAAAGAAAGGTGAATCAGACTCAGATTGCATGCAAGGATCATAGATTCATACACTGCCCGGTGATCAATGGAAAGCCACTGGAGGTTTTTGAGTAGACAACATGATCAAAGATTGATACATTCAGAAGATGATTCAGATAACACTGTGAGGAATAGACGGCATAGACTAGAAGCCCAAAATGCAGTTGGGAGACTATTACAATAATCTGGGTAGAAAAAAAGATATGGGAGGGGCAGCTAGGTGAAACAGTGGATAGACCAGCACCCCAGAGTCAGGAGGTCCTGAGTTCAAATGTGATCTCAAACCAGACACTTGACAATTACTAGCTGTGTGACCCTGGGCAAGTCACTTAACCCTAACTGCCTCGCCAAAAAAAAAAAAAAAGATATGGTTGTTTGCAGTAGAAGAGGAAATGAGGTGATTGATGTGTGAGAGATACTGTGGATGTAGCCCCTACAGAGCATGACAATTGCTCGGAAGCATGGGGTAAGGAAGGAGAGAAGAGTCACAGATCACCTTGAAGTTCTGATCCTTGGAGACTTTGCTATCTGTACAAACACAGTCTCAATTTTTGGCTCATGCTGATCCTTGTACTTGACACGTCCTCCCTCTTTGTCTTCATCTGTGGAATTCCTACCATCATTTAAGGCCTATACAAATGCCACTTGTACTATGAAGCCTTCCTTGATCCTCTTGACCGATGATGACCTTCCCCCTCAACCTCATAAAGTATTTTATTTTTGAATGTTTCTAATATACTTATCGTATATTATTCAATTCAATTCATTCAACAAGCATTTATTAAGCCCTTACTATGAATTAGGTTATTAGATTATTATGCTAGGATACAAAGGCAAAAACAGAAACAATTTCTTGGAGTTGTAAAATGATCCATTTTGGAGAGCAATTTGGAACTATGCCCAAAGGGCTATAAAAATTTGCATGCCCAGCTAGGTGATGCAGTGGATAGAGCACCAGCCCTGGAGTCAGGAGGACCTGAGTTCAAATCTGGCCTCAGACACATGACACTTACTAGCTATGTGACCCTGGGCAAGTCACTTAAGCCCAATTGCCACACACACACACACACAAATATGCATACACTTGGACCCAGCAATAGCACTTCTAGGGCTGTATCCCAAAGAGATCATACAAGTGGGAAAAGGACCCACAGGTACAAAAATATTTACAGCAGCTCTTTTTGTTGTGGCAAAGAATTAGAAATTGAGAGGATGCCCATCAGTTAGGGAACGGCTGAACAAGTTGTGGTATATGAATGTAATGGAACACTATTGTGCTATATGAACAGGCTGACTTCAGAAAAACCTGGAAAGACTTATATGGACTGATGCTGAGTGAAGTGAGCAGAACCAGAAGGTTGTACACAGTAACAGCCACCTTGTGCGATGACCAATTTTGATAGACTTAGCTTCTCTCAGCAAAACAATGATCTAAGACATCTCCAAAGGCCTCATGATGGAAAATGCTATCCACATCCAAAGGAATAACTGTGGAGTTTGAATGCAGATCAAAGCATACTATTTGCTATTTTTTTCTTCTGTTGTGTTTTGTTTCCTCTTTCTGGTGGTTCCTCCTATTGGTTCTAATTCTTCCTTACAACATGACTAATGTGAAAATACGTTTAATAGGAATATATATGTAGAGCCTATATCAGATTGCGAGACGTTTTAGGGAGGGAGGTGGGGAGGGAGGGGGGAAAAATTAAAACTCAAAAGCTTATGGAAGTGATTGTCGATAAATTAAAATAAATTAATTTTTAAAAAAAACAATTTCAGTCTCCTTCAGTGTACCTGTCTAAAAAATGGGACATTCACAACCGCCTGGTCTACTCCAAGCGGACATGAAAACAAGCAGAAGGTCCGGGAAGGCACAGCCGGAGCCCCATTCCAAAGATACCGGGTAGAGGGGGTTAACTTAATGAGGATAGGGGAGGAAAGAAACTAGCCAATAAGCAGCGAGTTCTCCTTTCTCTCCGCCTCTCGCTCTCTGTATCTCTTTGTCTTTCTCTCTGTCCGGTCTCTTCGGTCCTCTCGTCCTTCAGGAGAACCAATGGAGTAAAAGATCTCCTCCCAATAGCGGAGCCTTAGGGGGCTGAAAGACCCGCCCCTTCTTAACCTTTCTTACCCTGCCCCTAATAGGCCACTTAAAGGTGTGAAAGGTAACAGACCCTAAGGGGTTTAAAGTTCCGCCCCACCCTGCGAAGGAGCCAATGGAAGGCAAAGTGACTGTACAGCTCCTGGGGGCGGAGTCAACAGAGTGAAACTACAGGCACTGAGGTTCCTAGGGACAGAGCCAATGAGAAGACAGGACCCGCAGACAGGCTAGTAGAGCAGCCAATGGAAGGAAAGGTTTATTTCGCTTCCGGGGCCGGGGCCGGGGGCGCTCCAAATCGACAGTGGCTCCGCCGCTGTCATGGCGGCTGCGCTCGCCTTGGCAGCCCTTCGAGTGACGCGACGTGCGACGGGGGCTGCCGCGCGGCTGCAGGTGAGGAGGGGCTGTGAGGTACGTCACCTGCCTTTGGGCCGGACTCCCCCGGCGCCCCTTCTCTCCCCGGCTTGAGCTGCGCTAGCCTCGGGCTTCTCCGCGCTCCCTCCGCGCCTCTGCCCCACCAGGCCCGGCTCGGGACCTAGGCGCTTTCCGGCTACGCGGCTGGCTCTCGCCGACCTTGGCGGCCTCTTTGTGCCAGCTTAGCTTGTTCGGTGTTGCCCACGCGCGGAGGGCCGTCTCCCATCTCGGTGCTTTTGCGTGGGTCGCCCTCCGTGGCTGGAATAAACTCGCCACCTTATGTAATCCCTGGCCTCTTTGAAAAGGACAGGTGCCACCTGAGAGAACGTGTAAAGCGCTTTGTAGATCTTAAAGCGCCGTATACGAGCCAGCTATTACTGCTGTACTCTTCATGAAGGCCTTTCCTGATTCCCTCCCCTACTTGGTGTTTTCTGCCTCTTAAAATTACTTCGTACTATGTCATCTGTGTTCACGTTGTATCTCCTCTTCCTCGCTACACCCCATAAAAATATAAGAGGGGAGTGGAGAGGGGGCATTATTATCTTTGTGGGATCACAGAACTAAAGCTAGAAGGAATGATTAATAAATGTTCTTTGTACAGCTCAAGGTCACGTGGTAATTAGCAGAAACAAATTTCAAGGCTAGAGCCAGTCCTCTCTTCACAGGTCACAGACTTCATCTTCTAGACAGAAAATAGGAACTTATAAAGAATTTTGTGAATGCAAATGTTCGTCAGTAAACCTTTTCTTTTTTTATTCATAGTCACCAAATTGATATTTTCCTTTAAAAAAAAGGCAACTTAATCCACTAAGCATTCATTAGAGGCCATTATGAGCAGGCGCTGGTGATGAAAAGATTAGTTAGACTGGGCCCCATTAGGATACTTTATTACATTTACATAGCAATTTACACCTACAAAGCTGCTTTACATTTAATTAATTCCTCAATACAATTTTTTGAGAATGATAGAGCAAGAATTATCATTCCCATTTTCCAGGTGTGAAAGCATTCAGAATAGTTAGATTCACCCATGAATACCCAAACTAGTACATTTCCCATGATACTACCCTGCCTATAATAAACCATAACAAATGACAAGTTTCTGAGGGCTGATTTTTCCCGTGTATGCAATTCAAGAAGTATTTATTTGCTGAACATCTACAGTCTTGTTATCTGCAAAAAACTTTAAAGTCAACATTTTTCTAATGTGTGAATTATCCCAAATTTGTAGCCTCTTGCTAGTTTCCTGTTTATACCCAGTAAGGACTCCTGAGGGGTGGGTGCTGAAGGGGATACAAATTAATTTTATTGTTTTTTCTAAGTACAACATTTTAAAAAACTAAGCTGTTAAACTTAATATAAACCACACAAAAGAAAAATGAAGTTTGGATTATCTCAGAAAAGATATCCAATTCTCAGATTTTTGATTCAGAGCTTTCATAGACCTATGGAGAGAGATGAGAGAGGATTGCTCTGCACAGTTCCTTAACTCCTACTTTTTATAGGAGAGGAAGGGAGGGTCACTATATTTCAGAGAGACTGTCCCTGACGATTGCTAGTATACATCCTTCAGAAGTGCTTACATAAGGAATGAATCAGTTCCCTGCTGTCCACAGACAACTTATTTCAATACAATAATTCTTTCTTTTTTGGTTGTGAGCCCAGTGAAAACAGAAACTGAAAAATGGCCACAGGAAAGGATTGCTCCATTCCACCGCTGGGAAATATTTGTTGCCTAGGGCACATGGAAGAACTGAAATGATTTAGATGAACTTTCTCCTCTGTGATGAAAGTGATTAAATATACTACTGAACACAAAGTTTAATAAGTATTTACTAAATACCTACCATAAACTAAGCACAGGGCTCTGGGAAATTCAAAGATAAATAAGACATTCCTCCTCTCAAGGAGCTTATACTCTAATAGGAAGATAGGACAAAATAACTGCAGTATAAAGTGGAATAGAACAATTACATAAACACAAGCTCCTGTCAGCATTCAGCCAAGGGAAGAAAGAAATACTTTTGGCTTAGGGGAAGAGGCTTAACATTGGAGCTGAACCTTGAAGGATGGTTGGGATTTCAGTAAGCAGAAATGGAAAGTTCATTCTTGGCATAGAGAATTGTGTAAGCATAGATGCAGAGGTGGTATGCACAGGATATATTTGTTGAGTAGTCTGATTTGAAGCATAGAATATGGTATGGGAGTCTCAGTGGCAGATAAGGCTGGAAAGTTAGCTTGTTCCCACATTATGTGTGTATAGCAGCCTAAGAACTTTGGGCTGTGTTCAGTAGTTGAGGAAGCCATTAAGACTTTTGAGCAACTTGGCAGTGGATTTGAGGAGGTCATGACTTGAAATTGAAAGACTGATTAGGGGACTCATACAAGTGTAGGTAATGAGGCCTTAACATAGTTTCAGTGGGAATAAAAAGAAGGGGATAGTTTTAAAAGATGCTACTGAAGATAAATCCAGAGTATTTAGTAGCCATGTGACAACTGATTTAGTATGTTAGCGAAGGAAAGGGAAAATTCTGAGAGGGTGAGGTTTTGAGCCTTGGATGAAGTTGAAGAAGATGACAGGAAACAGGTTTGGGAGCAAAGATAATCATTTGGATTGGAATACATTGAATCTAAAATACTGGTAGGACAGAGGGGTAGAGAAGTCTATTAGGCAGGCAGAAATGCTGGTCTGAAGCTAAGGGAGAAGCCAGCGGACAAAACAGTTATCTCTCATTCAGAATGGTGATAGAACAAACAGAATGATGTTTTAATGTTTTATAACAAAGTGCCATATCAGTGCTCAAGAACTATAAAATCAGGCTTATTAAAAATATCAGTGGGGTCATTTTAGGTATGACAGACAGCTTGGAATTCAAGATCTATCACAATCTAGACATATCTTCCCTTAACCAGCCTTATCAACCTTATTGCCTTCCTACATGCACCACCTCCCCTCAGTGCTAGCCAGGCTAATCTATTTATTGTTCGCCAAATACACATGGATTCTTTTTTTCTGGGAGAGGCCATCGGGGTCACATGGCTAGTAAGTATCAAGTGTCAGAGGCCAGATTTGAACTCAATACCTCCTGATTCCAAGCCAGTGTTCTATCCACTGCACCACCTATTTGCCCCTACACAAATTTTTGAAAGAATGAAAACCCTTAACATTTTATATTAGAATGATTCTGAACTGCTTAGACTTTCCCCTGACATTGGCTAAGACAGGCCTATACAACCTGCTTGCTTCATGCCAAAAGATTTTGGGTAGCCCGAGAAAACTATAGAGGAAAACATCCTTTGGCATTCTGTAGGCCGAAGGTTGTACAGGCCTGGTCTAAGATTTGAGTTGAGATGATTTGTCCGTTAGTCTGTTGTTAGAAATAAATGAGTGGTGAGCTGGCTGGCTAGACAAAGCAGTCTGATTCACTAACTCTCACATGTATATAATGCTTTACAAAGTGCTTTTGAATTCATTTTCTATGAGGTAAGTAGTTTGAGTATCATCCCTATCTGGGGACTCAACTTTCTCCTCCCCTCGACAGTCTCCTACCAACCTTTCTGCCAATAAAACTTCCCCTTTCTTTTCCAGAAACCCCATCCTTCCCAGTGGAACTCAGCATCTCCTCTCCACTCTAACCTATAGGCCCACTCCCCACTTCCTGAGGGTGGGATAGAAACCTCAGGTATCCGAAAGAAAGACTCCTTGGCCTTGCCATCTGCCCTGAAACCAAGCTGTCCTACATATGTCGTCTTTCCCCATTAGAATGTGAATTCCTTAAGACCAGGGGTGGTCTTCTTTTTCTATTTGTAACCTCAGTCCTTGGCCCTTAAATGCTTATTTATTTCATTTATCCCCATTTATAGATGAGAAAACAAGGTCAAAGAATCTAGGTGACTTGTTCACCTAGCTAGTTAGGCACAGATATCATGCCGATGTCAATGGATATTAAATCACTTTTCAGAAAAAGCCCTTCTGATATGTATTAAATATTTGGATATTTAGCCCCTTTTGTCTTAACCTTTCCAGGTGTGTTTATCTGCAGTATCTTAGTGAATGCAATCAAACCCTATGGATAGCCTGGTCAGTCAGTCAGAACCTGCAAAGGATGGAGTTAAGCCTAGATAGGAGATATGATTGGTCCTCTGGGGAGTACAGTAACTTTTAGATGGAGCCTTTAACAAATTACTACTCAAGTTCATAATTCTCAAGGGCTAAAGGTATTTCAACCATCTATCAAGATGCCTGGTGCCTAGGGATTTGCCTAAAGTGGGTTAGAGGGGCTTTGCCTAAGCTTCCTGGCTCGAATTTGACCAAATTTATAGCAATGATGGAAATAATGTAACTGGTGCCTTCTCCCCCCCCCAATCCCTCTCTACTTAAGTCCACTTTCACCGCCCAACTCCCTAGTAAGCCTTTCATTCACTACCCTGGCCCATGTGATTCTCCAGAATTCTACAATATTTTATAATTTGCACCATTAATTGTACTGAATCATAACTACACAGTTTTTCCTCTTCTTAACAGTACTGCCGACATAGGACTACACGCAGGGGAGTTGGGGTTAGAAATGGAGTCAGTACGTGTTTGTGAATGATTAATTGACCCAGGGTCAATCTGTGACCCTCTCTCAGGTCCGAGAAGCTTCAGGGGTCCCTGGTGGGGAAGAGGTATTCAAAGCCCAGCAAGCAGCCCCTGGAGGAGCGGCCCCTACCATCTTCTCCCGGATCATTGACAAAAGCATTCCTGCTGACATCCTTTATGAGGACCAACAGGTAGGATGCCACTTAGCCCTGTAGCCACCTTCACAGAATCTCCATCACCTCGTTACTCCACATACACACACCACACACACACACACACACACACACACACACAATACTTCATTTTGCAATTACAGTCTATTTCATATATCCTTCCTCTACTCCCCAGTGTCTTGTCTTCCGAGATGTGGCCCCTCAGGCCCCAGTACATCTTCTAGTCATTCCCAAGAAGCCTATTCCTCGGATCAGCCAGGCTGAAGAGCAGGACAAACAGGTGTTGGAGAGTGTGGGGTCAGGAGGAAAAACTAGGAGGGTTTGGGCCAAGGGCTGCTTGATTATTAACTACAGACCAGGGAGTGCTGGCCCTAACTCTTTCTTCCATTTTGATTATCCTGTCCCAGCTCCTGGGCCACCTACTACTTGTGGCTGCACAGACAGCAAAAGCCGAGGGTCTAGGAGATGGATACCGATTAGGTGAGTGATCCAATTCCTGACCTCCAAACCTTTAAGATGTCTAATCACTAGCCTACACCTACCCTACTCCTGTCACTTCTCCTAACCCTTACATTGCTCCCCCTGACACAGACTCTCTAACCTGTGGCCCCCCCAGTACCTATGTACCTAATGTCCCTAACCCTACCCAATTTTAGTGATCAACGATGGGAAGCTGGGAGCCCAAACTGTGTATCACCTGCATCTGCACATACTCGGGGGCCGGCAACTTCAGTGGCCACCAGGCTGACCCTGAACAGGATGAGGGGTTGTGGGAATCTGTGATTGTTAATAAACCTGTTGAACTTTGACTTCTGATTCCACGTCTACTTCAGCCATTTGAACAAAGTTCCTCTAACCCACACTTTGGAGATGGGGAAAGTAGAGCACAGGAAGGCAGATCATTTTTATCCCAATTTCTATCAGTGACTATCTCACCAAATGCCTGAGGGATACCTGGGATCTGTGGTGGAGTATGTTTGGGTTGAAGGGAAGAATCGTAGAGTTACAGCTAGAAGGAACATTAGAGGTAATCTAGGTTCAACCCTTCATTTTATAAATGAGGAAACTGAGGCCCAGAGTTCAGAATCACACATGTAGTGGTAATAATAGGCTCACATTTATGTCATGCTTTAAAGCTTACAAAGCATCTTAACATTATTTCATTTGATCCTCACAATAACCCTGTAAAGTGGGTGCTGTAATATCTCCATTTTACAGATAAGGAAACTGAGACTGAGAAAGATTAACCAAGGGTTACACAGAAAGTAAGTCTGAAATGGATTTTGAACTCAGGTCCTCTGATACCCATTCTACTCTGTTGCCTCTGACCTAGTTGGGGAAATATTCTTTGTTTACATTCCTTGACTAAAGGAACAGAATCACTGAGAGAAGCCAGCATACCAGACTTTTTTATATTAAGATGATAATTCACTTCTCTGTAGTACTTCATGGTTTATAAAAGATTTTCTTCACAAACAAGTGCCCGGTGAGATTGTCAAAAGGCATATCTCACTTGTTAGAAATAATAGAAAAGAGGAAGGTTTACTCTTCTTTCTGGGGAGAAAGGGCGTGAAGGGCTAAGGTGGGGCTGGAACACAGAGTTACGTGACAAATGGCATTTTTCAATCCACTGAAAAGCTATTCTGTAAGACTTGGCACTGAGTATGTACTTTTGGATTTCTCTCCATCTGTATCCTATTTCCCAGTAGATATTAGCTATTAAAAAAAAAAACTGGAGAACACAAAGGATATCTTAAGAAGCAACAGAGAAAGAGATTCACAACCATAATAGCACTTTACATCTCAGTTGCCTAGGGAAGACTATATTCCCTTGTGGAGCTATCTAATGTCAGTGTCAGCAGTGAAGTGAGGGGGCTGAGCTGTCCCTGGAGTGGCCCAGGCACCTGGCATACGGGTGCTTAACAAATGTTTAGTCTTGGAATTAGTCCCAGACAAAGATCAAATACTGAGCCAGTCAGAAGATATTGTCCTGACAGCATAAGGGTAGCAAAAAAAAAAAAAAGAGTCTACCTAGGCCATAGATTTGAAACCAAAGCATGAAGAAGAAGAAAAAAAAACACCTCCAAGAGTTAGTGGAGTTTTACAGTTTTGTGGAGGGCAGTTGCTGGGACACAGCTAAGATGGGAGCCTGCTGGGTGACCTCAGCATTTCCAGGACTTTAGTATGCTATGCCTAAAACCAGAAGAGCAAGATGCTAGTGAGGGCCCACGGTACTGGAGACTGAACTGGTCAACATTTTATATCCATCCCCCTTCCCACCACCCTAATCCAGGCCATTGTCACCACCCTCCTGGACCAGAGCAGCAGTTTCAGACCTGTACTCTCTGTCCTCTAATTCTATGCTCCTACCAGAATAATCATTCTTATGTATAGCTCTGAGCATCACTGATCTTCAGGGACTCCCAGAAGTTCCTATTTTGACGTTAAACAATATCAGGATCCCACATGTAGTGTTTGCTGCCCGGTTCTGCAAACTGTCTGGCACACCCTAGCCCGGTACCGAAGGCAAGTTCAGCCCGCCGAACCGGGCAGCATTGATGGCACACGCGATGAGAGATGAGGGGCTGGGGGCTGGGCTCTGGGAAGGAGGCCCCTGCTGCAATAGGGTAGAGAAGACGTGCCCCGGCCCCAACGGGTCTTGCTTCCCTCCGCATCCCGGCTGCAGCATGCTGTCCAGCCGGAGCCGCGCCCGTGAGCGCCCCCGAGGCCCAGGGTCTGGGACAGACCCGGGTGTTCCGAGCCTCGGCCGGCCGAGTCTCGCGAGGTCACCGGCCGTCTCCATGGCGACCCGCTAACATGCCGGAGAAGACGGAGGGCTGTGAGGTTGCCGAGGCGGTTGAAGGCAAGGGCCCCTCGCTAACGACCTCGGCGGCCCAGGGCACCGCCCCCGCGGAGGCCCCGGCGTTCACGGCAGAAGAGCCAACGGTCTCGTCCCAGCGGAGCTCCAGGACGGCCCGGCAGGGCCCGGAGGGCAGCGCCGACTCCAGCTTCGCACTGGAGCCGGCGCGGGTTTGCTGCGGCTTCCTGGCGCAGCCCCGCCTGCCCCCCATGCACTGCTGCTTCTGGGAGCCTAACGCCCAGCGCTCCTGGGAGGCGCTACAAGTCCCCGAACCCGGCGCCCCGGGGCTGCCCTGGTCCCCGGAGTCCCGGGCGCCCCGGGAGCTGCTGCCGCGGGGCCAGTGCTTCATCCATAACTGGGTAGAAGAGGTAGTGCGGCCCCCTTTCTTTTCCCTGGGGGAGGGGCCTGGGGCTCTGCCCACCCACGGGGATCCTCGGGGGGCTTTGGAATCACTCTGAACTTTGGGTCCCACAGAGAGCCACCAACGAGCTGGACCGGGTCCTAAATCACGAGGAAAGCGAAGGTTTCCGCTACCGATACGGACACTTGGGACTGCTGACCCTAGAGTTATCCTCACCCCCGGCCTCCAGGACCACCCAAAAGGATTCCTACCAGCACCCAGGGAATCCTCGGAGAGCCCTCCGAGGTACATACGACAGCTAATAAGAGAAAACCTTAGGAAGGGGTAGGAGAGGGCTATAATGAAGTATGCAACTGAAAGGCTAAGTTCTACCTCCCCATCCCTCACGCTTTGGTCTGGTACCCACTGACCCGTGCCTCCCCTCCTGTCCGTCCTTCCCCTAGGGAAGAGAGAAGCCATGCTGGAGCTACTTCTGCACCATCAGATCCGGTGAGGGGTAGATGGGGAGGACAGGGGGAGACTGGGGAGGAATTGGGTGGGGAGAGACAAGGTGGGGATAAGGGGGGGAAATGTCCCTGAACTCAGGGATTATGCAGGAAGGAAGTGGACCAGCAGTTGAGTCCACCAGAGTATTCCAATTACAAGTCTGTAACACACCATGATTATCAAAGGAAGCTGGATCGACCTGGGCCACCACCTCCCACCAAGGTGAGAATTTCACCTTCTAATAAAGAAGACGGTCCTCAATAGATCAGTGGGAGGAGACTTTTGGGCTATTTTCTGAACCCTTTGGGAAGCAAGGGAAGGAAAGGTCACAAGAGAACATTAGAGGAGGTTAAATACTCCGCCCCCCCAACCCCATGGACTCTCAACTCCTCTTCCCCACACAGCCTCACAACCTGCAGGAGCAGCCAGAGACCTACTGGCTACAAAGGGCATCAAAGCTTCCGGTGTGTTACCTTCCTGGGGGAGGTAGGGGCAGGCAGGTCATGTTGCTGAAGTTTGGAGAGAGGTGGTGAACAGAAACATGGTTGGGCAGGCTGGTGGGAAGAGGTCTTATCCTAACTTGGAGAATTTTTCAGGGTGTCAGCAATATTCAGACATATGATACCCCATTTCGAAAAAACTGTAGTTTCTCAACACCTGTTCCTCTGTCCATGGACCAGCCCTTACCCTACAGCCCTGAGAACTACCCTCAACTTTGAAGGGAGAAAAGCAGATTGGATAATGGGATGGGGGAAATAAATCATACAAATGGGTATTATTCCTTGTCCTGAGACTGCCTAATTGGATAAAGGAGGGAGAGGTGCCATGACCTTGCTCACCCCTTTTCTTAGGGGTTTCATTTATGATTGTGAATTCATGGCTGGTTTTATAATTTTGTATTTGACCAAAATATTCTGGTTTAGATACAGATATTTACAAGGGTGGGAGAAGGAGAATATGTACAAGCCCTAGCGTCAGATGCCCCAGGGCAAATAGTAAGTGCACACACAGTGCTCTGTGATAGTGTCCCATATGGCTAGTGAATAATAAGGATCATGGCCACAGATCCTTGGGGGCTGGCAGAAGAGGGGGAGGAAGGCATTTCGGGTCACAGCAGTCCAGATGGTCCTTTTCGCTCTCCCAAGAGCCAGTATGTCCGCATCTTTCCCTTTCCCTGTGATGGTAGAAAATCAAAGCACCACCCCCCCAACTCCACCCACATCAGTGCTTTGTTCTATTAGCTCGAGTCCTCTTCTTCCCCTCTCCCCACTTTACAGGTACCCATTTATCTCCTTTCTCCTCACACCATTACCAACTCCTTCATCCCCTTTCCTCCCAATACCACCCAGCCCCCAATTACCTTCATCTCCACATCTCCTCTAAGCTCCAACTGAAAGCAGCCAAATTCGTCCAGGGCATCCTTGGTTGTAGATGAGACATGGATCTTCAAGGCTAAGAAGCCAAGAAAGGTCAGAGAAGGGCTGACCAAGGTTGGGGATGGGAAATAAGGGGAAGAAATGAAACTGTGGGTCCCTCCCTCATCTTCTCCCACCCATTTGAGACAAAACAGTAGGGGAGGTAAGTGGAAGAAGTCTTACATTGAAGAGCCCAGTAGGGTGATAAGAGTATTTCATAACTGTCTCAAGGGCAAAGAAGATCTGGGGGATAAATCTCACCTTGACCATTGGACTCCATACGTGAGGCAGTGTTCACTGTGTCACCAAACAGGCAATATCGGGGCATTTTTAAGCCAACAACTCCAGCACAGACTGGCCCTATAGGGAAGAGCAAATTGGAGAGATCCTATAGCCATTTAGGGGTAGGGGTCAGGAGCCAGAGCTAATCTTACCAGTATGTACACCGATTCGCAGTCGTAGCTGATCATGAGGCCGATGCCGAATTCGGAAGGAAGCAACAGCATCCAATAGCGCCAGGGCCATACGGGCAATCTCGGGGGCATGGCGCTGACCATTACGCCCAGGGAGACCAGACACCACCATGTAGGCATCACCAATAGTCTCCACCTATAAAGGAAAAAGACAGGGTCAGACGGTCAGTGCCATAGGCATTTCCATTTGTGTGTTTGGCCTAAGATGGCAGGTGGAGGGAGGCAAAGGGGGGGGGCAAGAGGGAAAGAGAGAGAGGAAAGGATAGGAGGAAGAGGGACAGGGGAATGGGGTGACAAAGAGACTAAGGACCAGACATAGTTTTACTCCTCTGGTCTTTAATGTTTGAGACCCAGACTGAGGAACTGAAAAGTTCTCACACAGTAGAAATTAATTGCCTTTCCTTCGACTATAAGTTTGAAGCTACCATCTAACAACAACATAACCATGTCCTATCTGCAGCTAGGAACTGCAAATGGAATGGGGTAAACCAACAAATTACAGAGCAGCAGAATCCTAGAGGTTGTTGTGGACAAGGGCATTATGGCAGACAACAGAAGTGAGGCAGGGACACCCAGGAATTTAAAAAAGTTGATCACAGCCAGAGAGTCTTGGGCTGCAGTAAGGGTCTATGGAACAGAAATTCAATCTCTGCCAACAAAGGGACTTAAATAGAAAATTTTATTTCAAAATACTTTACAATTCAAAAATTCTCATCCAATTCTTTTCCTTAAATTCCTTTCTCAGTCCAAGACCTATACAGTTTCCTATAATTAAAAAGACAGGCTTAGAGCAGCTACTAGTCCCAGTAGTGGTGAGTATCCAAAGAATCAAATTAGGGGCCTGGGAATACATTATATATAGATAGATAGATATAGATATAGATATATATACATATATATCTATGTATGTATAGATATATATGTATATATAGATATTGATATATATGTATGTATGTATGTATGTATGTCCCCAGATCCACATTTGGACATAGGGGCTGGGGTTCAGAAGCCCCAGGTAATCCTGGTTTCAGGGTTTCAGGAAACCAGATCCTGGTTTGGGGGGAGGGGTACTAATCCTGGTTCCCACCTTGTACACATCAAAGTTGTCAATGATGGCATCGAAGCAGGTGTATAGGTCATTCAGGAGTGTCACCACCTGATGTAGGATAGGGAGATTCTGAGATTCAAGTTCCTGACCTCCACAAAGGTTATGACTTTACCCCAAAGCACTCCAATCCCTCCCAAAGATATATAATCCTGACGTCAATGGAACCTAATACTGCTCCCAAACTCCCTTAAGACCAAGTATTCCAAGTCCCCACCAGAGAGACCCCAAGCCTCTCCAGAGACTCAAAAGCCCCTCTTATCCTATGGCTTACAAAAGTCTCTCACCTGCATAGGGGTGCTCTCTGCTGAAAGGGCTGTGAAGCCCACGATGTCACTGAAGTAAATGGTGACATTGTCAAAGGCCTCAGCCTGTACAGTCTCCCCTCGTTTCAGCTGCTCAGCCACTGAGCTGGGAAGGGGGGAAGGGATGAATGTGTCTGTGTGTCTTTGTGTGGCAGTAGAAAGAGGGTGCTACCACTGGAAGCAGGGCTTGAGAGCATGTAGAGAACTTGAAAGAGCTTACTCTCTTAGGAGAAGCACAACTGTAACTGTTGGGGGTGAGGAAGGAGCTCACTGGAGCAAGCAGAAAGGGGAGGGTGAATCCTAGGTAGAAGGCTTCCTTGGGAAGAGGTGCCTGGGGTAGTTGTCTTGGATAAGAGAGAAGAGCCCCTAGGGGTTGGAGGAGAGAGAAAGGGATTCTCAAGGAGCTCACTGTGGCAGAATCTGGTAAAGGAGTGCCTCAGCCTTGCGCTTCTCCTCCAAATATGCCTGTGTCCGCTCCTCTACCAACTTCTCCAGATTGTTTGCATACTGCTCCATTCGAAGCAGGAGGTTATCTAGGATGCTGGTACCACCTTCCCTATAGGAGGGAAGGGAGCTTTATTTGGTGAACCTCCCCCAAAAAAACACATAACACACACACATACAACCTGTACCTCTCTTTGAGCTTCCACTTAAGTCCTTCAACCCCTCCAAAGCAATCAGGACTCAGCTTCACTCACTCTCAGGGAAACCCTATATGCCTCTGATGCCCTCTCACTTGTTGAAACGTCGGATGAAGCCCTTGATCTGTCCAAAGTCTGGTCGCTCAGCTGGATCCTGGGCCCAGCATCTCTCCATCAGCAAGGCTAGCTCCTCACTGAGCTGTGCTCGGTCAATACTTGGCCGAAAGTATGGCCGCTGACCATTGCGGACCTTTTGGATAATCTCTGGGGATGTAGAGAGCAAAAGGAAGTGAAGAGGGGGAACCCAGAAAATTATAGTGCTCACCTTAGGAATCATGGTCTAGCACCTTCCATTTAAAGGGGCAAAGAGCTGGGGCAGCTAGGTGGCACAGTGGATAGAGCACTGGCCCTAGAGTCAGGAGGACCCGAGTTCAAATCTGGCCTCAGACACTGACTAGCTATGTGACCCTGGGCAAGTCACTTAACCCCGATTTCTTCCAAAAAAAAAAAAGGAGTGGGGCAAGGAGAGAACTCACCCTTGGGACTGAGGTCTAGGCCTTCTACATAGAAAGGGCCACTTCGAAGTGCTATCTCCTGCAGAATGATCCCAAAGCTGTAAACATCAGCCTTCTGGAGGCCCACAGTCAGCAAGCGGCTCCCATTCAACAGCTCTGGAGCTGTCCACAACTTCTCTGAAAAGTGTAAATGGGCTGATCTAAGCTATGAAGTGGGACAGCACAGTGACTCAAACCCAGAACATTCCAACTCACCAAGGCCCCAAGATGGGAAAAAGCCCCATATCCCTGCCCCGATTTAGGGCAACCCATTCTTCTCATCCCACCCTAACCCAAATGGAGAGGAGACGAAAAGAAGGTAGCTTTAGGATGGTGGGGCCTCACTGGCATAGAGCGCATGACTGTCATCCGGCTCAGCGGCTGACCGGAAGCTGGCCAGGCCATAGTCAGTGATCTTGAGCACGAACCGGCTATCTACCACACAATTGGAGGACTTGAGGCTCCCGTGGGAAGCAATGATGCTGTTGTGGAGAAAGGCCATGCCCTGCAGGATACAAACCAAGTTACTGGGGCCGAGAAAGAAAGGGGAGGTCTGTGATGAAATGCCGCCCCCTTCCCCTGGTAGGATTAACTTTTATTTCCAATGCATGTTTTAAGGATCTCGTACTATGAAAATTAAATGAGCTGATTTTAGAAGACTACCCCTCCTCCGGAGAAACACCAACAGATTACACCTAAGTGGAAGAATCAATTGTGCTGAAAGTCAAAAGCAGTGCCCAGGCAGTAATTAGCCAGATCAGTTGATGTGTCAAGGGGAGTCTGTGATTTGTGGATTAGAAATTAGTCATCTTTCCGGTGATTAAAAGAACAGAAGCCAAGTGGGAGAACTCCAGGTAAAGTATATGAAAGTGACAGGACAATGTGATATAGGACTCTATTGTTTGTCCTTTGTTTTGAAGAGAACCAGGAACATCATGGGGTGATATCTTGACTCAAGCATGAACTGGATTTAAGTGAGACAGTTGCACTCCTTCTTATAGAGTCATCAAAGTCCAGTGTGGCAGGACAAAAGTCAGGATGACCAGGATTCAGTGGATGACCTTGGTGTCTTCGATGTCTGACTCTAAGCTCTAAGCACTCCACAACGCCTGCTTCAGCCACCTTCATGACCTTTGGAACAAACTGTTCTCACCTACCCATTCTGCTGGGGGAAGTCTTCACGTGGTTGGGGTATTCACCCACCTAACTCACCAACAGGTTTGAGGACTGTTGGTTACCCTCAACCTGGTTTAGCCTGTCTGCTTAGAAGGTTTTACCAGGGTGTGGCTGGTGCACGTGCCACAGCTTCTTGGAGCCACAAGTGAAAGTTAGGTGAAGGTGGACACCAAAGCTAGGTGAGCAGCCCCAAAAAGGGCTTGGCAAGCCTCACTATATGACTATTGGGCAAGCAGTGTCTGAGTGCCAGATAAAAGAGATGATGCAGCTAGGAACTAGTACCAGCTGTAAATACTGACTCGTGAACATGCTAATTATAATTACTAATGACTCACATTTATACAACACTTTAAGGTTAAAATGTAGTAAAAGTATGATTATCGCCATTTTTACAGATGAGGAAACGAAAAGTTAAGTAACACCTTATCCACGCTGGAATTTGAACCCAGATCTCAACTTAAAATTTAATGCTTTTCCCATGGCCTTCCTAGCCTGGCTGGTCATTGTTAAAAGACTTAGATGTATTAGGAAAGATATTGGATCTACACTCAAGCCAAGGAGGAACCAAACCATGGAAAGAACAGCTCCTGAAACCAGAAGCAAGAGAAAACTAGCAAATAGTAAAGGAAGGAAGCAACCAGAAGTTGGTTGTGGCAGCCTTAAGCCACAGGAAAGGCCCAAGTAGCTAGAGTCAAAGAGAGCTGGAGCCCCATCTAGACAAGTTAGGGCAAAAAGAGAGCCTTGGTATGAACTGAAAATCCACCAAAAAAATTTCCAGGAGTCAGGCCAGCCGCAACACCACAATTTTAAAGTATACCTAGACAATTCAGAACCTCATGCTCTATAAACTCTTCCTTTTGTGCTTTTTCCAGAAAAGGTGGAAAGCTTCGGGATTCTGCTTGTGAAATAACAGAAAGGATGTTACACTTACAGGTCAAAAAGAAGGGATTCAAGTGCCCCTCTGGGATAAGGGTAGTGGTGTGGCAGCAGCTCACTTGCCATTTGCAGAGCTAGAGAAAATTGGGAAGCAGATGCAGGCCCAAGCAAGCATTAAACTGTTCCAGTCAATTGTGAGCAATGCCCAGTTCTCCCCTAATCACCATCCTGACAATTCCATCTCAGGCTGTCTCTGGTGAAGAGGGACAAGGAAGGCTGTGATGGCAAGGCAAGAAGAGTGAAAAGTAACCTCCTTAGGATCACTACTGTACCATCCCTCCATTCATTTTCCTTTACCTACAAAAACTGCTCCACCTCGTCCCTGTCCATTCCCAAGAGAAAAAGGACCAGAGATTAATTTTATTTATCCCCTAAGCAGAGGGAATACTCACCTTCACAAGGTCATTAATGAGTGAATAACGGAACATCCAATCCAAGTTGATGCTATCATTCTCTAGAATATCCTAGGAGTGACAAAGATAATGGGTATGCCTGCCCTGATTCTGACACAGTATCACCCCAATCATTCACTGCCTACCCCACAATCCCAAGCTCCCCTTAACTCTCTCACCTGCAGGCTCCCTCGAGGACAGTACTCTGTGACAATGCAGATGTTGGGAGGGTCTATGCAGGCACCAATGAATCGGGTCAGGTGGTTGAACTGAACATCCCTCATCTGGAGGGATTGGGAGGAAAGGGAACAATTAAGAGGACAGAGGTATCTAAAGTTGTACCCTAAGCCTTTCTCCAATTCTGAATCTTCCATAAATCCCTAATCCCTTCCTCTTATCTCTTTCTTCCCTCTCTTCAATTCTCCTCCCTCTACCCCTTTGTCCAACCCAGGTCCATCCCAGGACCAGGACCTACATGTTTGAGCTCAAACAGGACCTGCCGTGTCAGCTCTATGCGTTTCTTATTTACATGTTTGATAGCAACAACATTTCCCTGGAGTAGAATGGAGAGAAGGGATTAAGGCCCTAGCAAGAGGAAGGAATTTGTGGGGCTTGGGGTGCTGGAGGAGGGAAAGGGTCAGGAGCCCAGTGGAGTATATTGCTGAGCAAGAGGAGGGGATGAAGAACAGGGTCACTAGAGGGTAAGGGAACGTGGGGAATAGGGCAAGGGCTGAGAGCAGAAGTTTGTTCACCTTGAAGTGACCGGTGTTGGCAAAGATCTGGTATTTCCCATGGGCTGTCATGAGCGAGCCGTAACTGGATCCCCGCTGGGGCCAAGGGCGACATGGGGGGAAGGAGGGAAGGGAAGGTTGGACAGTAGCTGCAGTACATGGGGCTATCATTACAGGCCAGGACGCTGAGGCTGGTAGAAAGAGCTCAGAGCCAGGGAAGAACCAGGAAAAGTAAAGTAATGGGGGTGGGGGAGGAGGAATATCTATTAGAGGGGAGCCTGAGAGAAAGTTATCAAGTGAGGGTAAAGAGCTGGGGAATGGACTTGGAGTTCTCCTTGGGGGAAGAGTGAGGAAGATAACAGAAGGAAATATGGTAGGGGAGGAGGATGCAAATGAGGACAGATAAGATTTCAGAGTAGGAGGGAGAGGAAGCCCCAAACCTGCAGCAGTCTCACCAAGGACAATGTGAGTCTGCTGCCCGCGCCCTTGTGATAACGCTCTGAATTGCCAAACTGCAGTTCCTCCCATCTAATTCGCCACAGCATGCTGGCCAGCTCCTTCTCCAGCATTAGCTTCCTAAAAGGACAGCACACTTCAAGCAGCCCAGCCCAGGTCCACACCATAGATCAGCACTGGGGCAAGGGAAAAAGGGAGGGACCCTGACCTGGGCAGATCATAGATTTTAATAATGCAACCACCACATCTGGCTGTAATCAAAAAAAACTCAAAAATTTTAAAAGGTATGTGTTCTACATGATTTTATTCACAGCCAAATGCAATATTCTTTAAACCCAGAGGCAGGAAATCAGCCCAAAGACTAGGCAAGAGCCTATACTGATGCCAATCCCAAGAGATTCTGAATACATTCTTGATTCTTGGGTTGGTAGATAGGCCAAGATGTTCAAGAGATGCCTACCAGGGATACCACTCCCAAACAGGCCATATTATGGGAAAGAAGAGATGGGGAGGAGGCAGGAAAAGGAAGTCAATTTTATTGTACTGGGTTAGCCCCTGGGATGCTTTCCTGGGCTCAGTCTAAGAATTAGGATTTGCTCCTAAGGCTTTTAAGGACAGTGATGATGGGCTGGGGACAATGTAGTGAAGGAGAAGAGGGCAGTGTAAGGCCAAGAACTCACCGGAAAATGAGGAAGCTGGAAACACCGAACATTATGAAAGTGATCCCTGTGCCCAAAGCCACAATGGCCAGAGTCGAAAGAGGGGCTGTTTAGGGGGGAGGAGGATGTGGTCACTTGAGGAGAAGGGAGAAAAGGGCCCAAGGTATGCAGGGAGATGCCTTAAGAAGGGTAAGGATAGTTCAAAGGGAGGTATGAAGCTAGGAAAGAAGGCAGCTGGAAGGAGGCAGTCCCCAAATCAAGGATTTGGCAGTTACTTGGGGAAGAGCGGGCTGTTTGGGAGAAGAGGAAGGAGGCTGTGCCCCCAGCCCCTGCACACACCCACTTTTATCACAGGACGGGTCATCCAAGTCGAAGGCACAAGGGGGATTATCAGAAGGAGGGGCCCCCTTCACCCAGGGGATAGGCTGCCCAGTCCACCAAATCTGCTTCTCAGCTCCAGAGTAATGGGCTGCAGGCTATATGGAAAAGAGAGAGCAGGGATTACAGACAGCAGCTTCCCATCTGCTATCATACACAAAACACTTCCTTTCCTTGTGACCTCCCCAACACAACCACCATCCCTATCAAGTTATACCTATGCAGAAAGAAAAAGGCTCTATCATTAGTCACTCCAATGCTGCCTCCTGGTCAGATTCAAGAACACCAGACTTAACACACACAGCAAATCTGCATACCCCCCCTCACCTGAAAGTCCCCGGAGTCCAAGTCCCCCATGGCCCAAAGGACAAAGTCTGTTTCACGGTCATTGTTCTTGTCCATTACAACCAGCCCTGTCACACCTGAGATGGGACAGAAAGATGGATGCCCTGATAGCCTTCTTTTTGTGGGTCCTCCTGCCTTCACCTTACTTCTGTGTCTACATACTCCTCTCTCATCAATTCTCTCCTTACCATGCTTATGCTTCCCATCAACCCCTCCCACTCTATTTGCCCCCTGCTCACCCATCTTGACGTCTACCCTCTCCCCACAATCATCAGAGGGAACTTGCAGGAGTGGATAGAGAGACAGCCTCACAGTTAAGAAAGCCTGAGTTCAAATCTCATCTCTGAACACATACTTGCTGAGGGACCCTAGGCAAGTCACTTAACCTCTCTATCCCAGCCAGCTCTTTAAGAGCCTTTCTGGATCTGCATTGTCACGAGTTTCCTTACTGGGAGTTCCCTATAACAATGAAATAATTCCAGTACTAATAAAAAAAAAAAGCCATCAGAAATTTAGAAGAGAAGGGAAAAGGACCTTAGAGGCTACCTTCTCCAACCCCTTCATTTTAGAGATACAGAAACTGAATGGATCCTAGAGAAGGTAAGTGGTTTGCCCAACATCATACAGGTAATTAAGTGACAACCACCATCTTCTAACTTCATACTCAGGCCTAGTTGTTTCCACTGCACCACTACTTGCTCCCTGCTCTCCGATACCCTAGAATCTACTCTCATAGGGAAAAAAGCACTTTGTAAACTTTACAATGCTACATCAATGTGAGTTATTTCTTATTACCCTGGTATCTTCGCCCTTGCATCTTCTTCACTATGCGGAGTCCATCATCCCGGGTACCCCCCTCTTGCAGTGTTTCATTCAAGACCTCGGCGTATAGCAGGATCCCATCGTAGAAGCAGCCAGCAATGAGGTTCATCTGGGAATGGCAACCTCAGCCCTACTCACCCCCATACTTCCAAAGACCACCTCTTCTCCTCTCCTCCCCTCCCTAGTCTTTCCCCCACTTCCTTTCATCCTTTGTCTCTTTTATCAGGAGCCACTTCCAACATGCAATACCTCCTAGTGGAAGGGAGAGCAGGCTGGCAAGAATTCATAGTCTGGCTCCATGGATAAGATGGCTTCTTATTTAGGATTAGGTGAATAGAGATGGAGGGTAGGGAGAGTGAGCTGAGTCAGGAAGGGCCTTCTCTATACCTCTATACCTCTACAGATGAATCCTCAGAGAAGGAAAGGGCTTCTTACCAAGGAGGGGGCCAGTTCCACACCAAAGTCAGTCCGGGCCCTCAGCAGCAAACGATGCTGGAATTCCTGATATTCAGGGTTTGGAGGCTCTCGATATGTAATCACCAACACTGTCTACAAACAGGAGCCAGTGGGAGAAATGAATAGGTATAAGGATAAGGAAATATCCAGTCAGTCTCAAGACAAGGCAATGTGTTCGTCAAAATCACTAATAATAAGAGAAATACAAATTAAAACAATTCTGAGGTTTTACTTCACATCCTGCAAATGAGTAAAGGTGACCAAAAAAAATGTAAAACAGTAAATGCTGGCGGTGTCGATGAAAGACAGAATCCGTAATATTTTGTTGGTGGAGCTATTCAATTGGTCCGGTTGTTCTGGAAAATAATCTGTGATTATGAACTGATGCTGAGTGAAGTGAGCAGAACCAGGAGAACATGGTTCACAGCAACAGCAACGGTCAATCAATTATGATTGACTTAGCTTTTCTCAGCAATACAATATCCAAGGCAATTCCAAAAGACTCATGACAGAAGATGCTCTCCATGTCCACAGAAAGAACCGTGGAATCTGAATGCTGATCGAAGTGTACTATTTTAACTGGTTTTGGTTTCTCCCTTTTGTTCTGTTTCTTCTTTCACAATAAGACTAATGTGGAAATATGTTTAACATGATTGCACATGTATAACCTACATCAGATTGTTTGCATCTTAGGGAGAGGGGAAGGGGAGGAAGGTAGAGAGAAAAATTTGGAACTCAAAATATAAAAAATGAATGTTGAAAACTATCTTTACATGTAACTGGAAAAATTAAAATACTCTTTGCTAAAAAGAAGAAGAAGAAGAAGAAAATAATCTGTAATTATGCAAACAAAAGTGACTAAAGTATTCATGCCCACCAGTCCCACTACTGGGTATATATTCCAAAGTGGTCAAAAACAGAAAGGTCTATTATACACCAAAATATTCATAGCAGCACTTTTGTGGTAGCAAAGAAATGGAAACAAAGTGGGTACCCACTGACTAGGGAATAACTGAACAAATTGTGGTATATGAATATAATGGAATGTAATTGTGCAGCAAGAAATGACAAATGAATAATTCAAAGAAAAAAATGAAAAAGTTGTATGAACTGCTACAGTCAAATAAGCAGAAACAGAATAATACACATAATAATTACAATGTAAATGAAAATATAACAAAGCACACAAAAATATGAATAAATTAAAAATGAGTAATGATCCCAGAGAACAGATAATGAAACAAACCTCTCCCCTCTCCCTTCCCTCAAGGAGCTTATATATTCTATCAGGGGAGACAACAAGTACATATACAGGTAGACCCTGAAAGGAACTAGAACTTCCCTTGTAACATAGATAGATAAGCAAACATCTGACAATGTGCACAATGTTCTGCCCTCATCACCCATGCTGTCTCCCAAGAGTTTTATGTATAGGTTGTTTTTGCTTAATTGTTTTTCTCTGTTACAAGGGAAGATCCAATTTCCCTGCATACCTCACCACTAATAGAATAAACAGGGGCTGTTTAGTTTTTGTTTCTATCGCTAGCATAGTGCCTGACACATAGTTGTGCTTAACAAATGTTTGTTGATTAAAAGATTGGTAAATAGGGAAGGAAAGAGGTTATATCTAGAAATAACTGATATAAAAACAAAAGGTATTACTAAAATCTATTTAATTTTTTTTTTCAAAAAAGAAGATCCATGTGTGAGTAATTCTAGACATAAGGAAGAAATCCTGCTAGGTAATACTGGTGAGAGGGAAGGAAAGGGATGTAATGGTAATGGTTGAAATAATTTGGGGTGTTGGGGGCAAGGACCAAACTCTTATAGCTATCCAGAGGATCCAACCATAAACCTCTCCACCCATGCCTAACCCAAAACATTTTTTATGAGGTGTGCCTATTATCTTCTGCCATGCTGGCTCAAGTCTGCCCACATTCTAAGGCCAGATCTAGACCTGGAAAGGAGTTACCATACACAGGGAATCTCTGCCTTATGAAGATTAGCTCAATGTGAAGCTCTATTCTTAAAACTAGTACCCTGTACCTGTTACTCAGACTCACTGTCTAGATCCCGACCTCTTACTACCCAGAGTCTTAGGCTCATGCTCCTTGATTCCATGTTGCCCAGACACTGAGCCCCTGATCCTTTTGTTTCTCAGTCTCTGAGCCATGGCTATCTGATCCATGCTGCTTGATGTCAAAGGACTCTGACCCTTTGCCTACTTTAGACCCATAGTACCTGCCTGCCTCTCCCTTATGTGACCTGATTGCTTGGCTCCTCTCTAAGCAAATTCCCAATCCCCTTCCCCCCTATCCTCCCTTCTTTCTTCATCCTAGGGCTGTCCTGTCCAGTTGCTGCCCAAGTAAATGTATAACTATCAGTCACATGTACACATAAGTCAAATAGGATGTGCATAATTTTGTCACATAAAACCTTACAACCCAGAGAAGAATGGCTACCAATTCAACCCTTAGAAATAACCAATTCTGGGGCAGCTAGGTGGCTCAGTGGATAGAGCACCAGCCCTGAAGTCAGCAGGACCTGAGTTGAGTTCAAATCTGACCTCAGACAAATAACACTCACTAGCTGTGTGATTCTGAGCAAGTCACTTAACCCAAGTTGCCTCACCAAGAAAAAAAAAAAAGGTGATTTCTTGGGGCAGCTAGGTGGTGAAAATTTGGCCTCAGACACTAGCTGTGTGACCCTGGGCAAGTCACTTAACCCTGATTGCCTCACCAAAAAAAAAGAAGCCAAAAAAAAAAAAAAGGGAAGAAATAACCAATTACAAATTCATGACTAAATAGATGTGACCTGGGCAGTCACACCAACTGCAGAGCCATATAAAACCATGGGGGTATCTCTGATGTTGCCCAAAGTTCCCCTTACCCTCCTCCCACATCTTCCCAGAGATGGAACCTTTGAAACACTATAAATTTTATGCTAGGTGCATACCTTTCTCTTCTATCAGATCCAATTTCTACCTTGAAACTCTTTTAGCTAGCTCCCAACAATCTACTGTGCCTAGATCCCTCTTTAAATACCCATCAGGTCACTAGTCGAAATCAGAGAAAACAGTTCCATAGGGACAGAGGAAAGAAGGAAAGAAATAACCTCAAGGATATGGCTGAATAATCAACTCAAGGCTTAAACTCAGCAAGAGAAGAAACATAATTGTTTCCAAGTAGGGAGTGGAGAAAACAAGGCAATATCATCCCTGTGTGGACAAGCATTATGGAGGATTCGAAGTGTATATATGTTGAGGGGATAAGACTGAGGGTAGGACATGGATCCTGGTGGCCGGGAGAACATGTCTCCAATATTACAGTGGAAACTTGGTGGGAAATAGAATTTTATATACTTTAAACTCAAGTCACTGAAGTGTTGTATTCTGTATATGTAGTTTATGAGAGACAAGCCTCAATTTCAGGCTTATTAACAGCAACTGCTTAATTACTTGTTCTAACCATATATCACCATTTACTTTGTCCTAAGCCAATGGCAACATCAGAGATACACCCACGGTTTTATATGGCTCTGCAGTTGGTGTGACTGCCCAGGTCATATCTATTTAGTCATGAATTTGTCATTAGTTATTTCTTCCCTTTTTTTTTGCCTTTTTTTTTTTTGGTGAGGCAATCAGGGTTAAGTGACTTGCCCAGGGTCACACAGCTAGTTACCTAATCAGTTCCTCACAACAGCAGAGAGGTCAAGTATTTTATTCTCATTTCAGATGAGGTAACTGAGGCTGAGGTATATTAAATATCTTGACCAAGATCACAAATTGGAAGAAATAGGACTAGAACCCAGGTATTCTAGTTCCTCATCCAGTGCTTTATTTTTCCCTCCACAATACCACAATGACTACTGTCTCTAACTCCTACCATTTACCCACCTTCCCTGGTCCAGAGGGCAATACTATTTATGTGGGTGCTCCCAGAGACAATCTTTTCTATGCATGTGTCTGATGGGAGGAAGGGGCAGATTCAGGACAGTTTCCCAATTCCTTCTATTCCAAGGCATCTCTGTGGCTTCAATATTGCATTTAAAATTAATTCCCAAAATAGACACACCAATTTTCAAGTCCAGGCAAAAGCTATTTACAAATGTAAATAACTTTTAAGTTGCCTGTACTTCTCCATTAATAGCTAACAGTACAGAGATCTTTAAGGTTATAGAAATTGTTTTGCATATACTATCTCATTTGATCCTCACACTGATCGATAAGGAAACTGAGGCTGAGAGAGCATAAGTAAATTATCCAAAGTCACAAAGCTAGGAAGTGTTTGAAGCAGGAAGAGAATGTAGGTCTTTCTGGCTTCCAGCCTAGGACTCCATTCACTATGCCACATAGCTACTGCAGATAACCTAAAGGTATCTGGATAGAAATTCATTTTATAGGCATTTTGCCATTCTGTGAAAAGCACACATCTATATATTAGTGTTCTAAGTCTTGCTTCTAGGTCTTCTTCTATTCTTCTCACTTCTGTTCCATCCAGTTCTATGTTCTCTCATATCCTATTTCCTGGCTTGATTTCTTCCTTCTCATGCCCAATTACCACCCACATTGCCATCATTCCTACTTCCCCCTACCCTCCAGATCTATTTTTTCCTGCTTCCATGAGCTTTCTCAGGTCCTCTTAGGATGGATAGAATAGACCTCATACCTCAGCCTCAGGTTGTTACCTCTTTTCCAAAAATGTGCCTCTCCTTTCCTTCCAGCTTTTGTCCAATTCCTTTAGAATATAAGCCCTCAAAGGCAGAACAGGCTTACAAAAGCTTTCATCAAAGCCACACTTGAAAAGTACCAATGCTTTACAGAGCAATGCAGAGCAGTGGTAAAGAAATGTTGCCAACAGGGAGAAAAGGGATGGGGTGGGCTGGGAAAAACAAGAGGGCAGGTAACTCTCACTTCTGAGTGTGATCCCCAGATTTCCAACTCTAGTCCCCACCTCCCTCCCCTTCTCACCTGAGCTCTGGTCATAGAGCTGCCTATTAGGCATCTTTAATTTGGTGTCTTGCTTTTGTCTTAAAATCTGTATTTCCACAATCAAACTTGACCTCTTCCCTTCCAAAACTAGTTCTCCCTAAAGACTTTTCTATTTCTATTAATGGTACTCCAATTCTCATACTCAAATCCTCAGTGTTGTGGCTGATTTTCCATCTCTCCAATATCCAACCAATGACCAAGCACTAGAGACTCATCAAGCAAAATATTATCTTGCATTCATCTCTTCCTTTCCATAAACACTATCCTTACCCTTATCACCTGAGGTTTCAAGGACTGCAGTAGCCTTTCCTAACTGGTGTCTCTAACTCAGAGGTGCTTCACTCTCAACTTTACCCCCAATGCCACTGATAAGAATAATTCTCCTAAAGATAACTCTGATCATGTACTCATCTCCTCAAAAACTTCCCCTCAGTCTGCACTAACTACTTTAAATAAAGTCCAGACTCCTTAGCCTGGCATTCAAAGCCTTCCATAATCTGACCTTACTTATGTAACCTTATTTCCCACCACTCACCACAATAAGCCCTCCTTGATCAAGGCTGTCTCTTCACTTTTCCCCACAAATGCTATACTGTCTCACCTCTGTGTGTTTGCTCATGCTGTCCACACCTTCCCCAGCTTCCAAACCTGAACCCATTGTATTTTTATGACCCACCTTTAAAGCCCAACTTAAGAATCATTTCATCTACAAGGCCTTTGCTGAGACCTCTGCCCATACAGAATTCCACTTCATTTCAACTCCCATACCACTTGTTGTCTATACCACATGTTCTGACACAGTATCTTAAACTGCCTCATCATTAGCTAACTGTCCTATGTAATACTTTGTTTCCCAACTAGGAAATAAGATCTCCAAGGGCAGGGAATGTGCTTTTTTTTCCCCTTCATCTCCTCCACAGAAGCCTAACACATGACTGGGCACATAGTAGGTATTCAGTAAGAATCTTGCCATACACAGTAATAAAAAGCCACAGGAAAATGACTTAAAGGAAATGGATGGAGCATTTTCATTTTAGAATCCATACTCTGGCCCTGGAAATGCCCTACCAGGAAACTCTTCTCTCCTTCTTCCTCTTTCCCATGGCCGACCTAGCCCACCTCCAGCTCCCATCCACGTTACCTGAAAGGCCTCCCTGAGGGCCTGGGCCTGCTCCCCTGTGCGATTGTCTTGCCAGGGCCGACCTCGGAGGCGGGTGGGGCTGGCACGGAGACTCTCCCCAAAGACATCCAAGTAGAAGAAGACGTAGTCTCCATTGGTTAGGTTTTCTCTCTGGGCCTGAAGCAGGATCTCATGCAGCATCTCCAGGGGGCCACAAATGTACACAACTGAGGGCAGGTATTTAAAAATGGAGTACCCTTAGGAAGGGCATCCAGCATCTTCAAATTAGCCCTTTCTCCTGGGGCTTGCAGGCTTTCTATTTTCTGTATTCCCCCTCAGCAGAAAAGTGAGAGCCTTGATCCATTTAAGTACCCAGATGACACATCCCTTTTCCCAGGAGTGTGCTGCAAGTACCCTGGGCCATAAGGAACATCTGGAATAAGTCATAGCTTGACCCCCAGAGGAAGGGATGTACTACCCTCAAGTTTCTCCCCATCCCCAGCTCCTCTCTCACATACTCCCACTTCCCCCCACTTTCTCCTATTCTTCACCCCCTCAGCCCCCATTCTGCTTTTGATGGGAGGAAGATTGGGAAGGAGGAGAGGGGTGGGAGGAAAAGTGCAATTCAGGAGTCATGAGCTTAGAAACCTTCTCTAAGTTTAAATCCTGGCTATCTTTCCCAACCAAACACACTCAACCTTGACCCAACTTATTGCACCCTAAGCAAAGGATATTAGTTTGAAAAGGATATTACATAAGGCATAAGGCATCTGGAAATAAGGGAAGAGTGCCCTTTAGAGTTTAGACCATCATATCCACAACTATAGCACAATTTCATTTCAAACATTTGATGCCTCCTGCAATGCCACAAAACCTCATGGAGCCCAATAACCCCCCATTCCTCCCTACAACTAAATCTCTCTCACTACAACATACTATTCCCACATGCTCCTGTTACTTACATCTTCACAATTTCCCTTAGTCTTCCAACCACAATACCCAGATGCTTCCCCTCATAATCACTTCTCCCCCTCACAAAGCCCATTTCTGTCCATATCCATCTTAAAGCTGTTTACATGACTCTCCAATATCAATCTTTACTCACAAGTTCCTGAAATCCCCACTGTGCCCCCACGCACCCCTATGATGCCTATCTCTAGCTATACAACCCCAAGTGGAGACCCAAGCTACACTCACTGCGCCCATTGGCCCGGATGAAGTGTGTAGCCTGCTCCGGACCACCTGGCTCCCGGGTATACACCTGATGCTGCACACTGAGATTGTTGCCTTGTAGGGCCTCAAAGACCCCTTCAATTGTGAAGTAATGGGGTCGGTCATCAGTGCGGGCATCCAGATACAGCAAGGCAGCACGTGCACTCCAGTTGAAGTGCCCGTGCAATGTCACCACAAACTCGCCCAGTTTAGGGGCAGAGGGTCCAGTGCGGACCAATGTTCTGTAGTGCTCACTCTTGGCTGCAAAGCCTGAGGCCACAGCACCTGCAGTTAGTAGGGGCAGCCGCCAATGTGAGGCAAAACGTGCCACAGAAGCAGCAGGGTACACACAACCAGGACCCAGAAGAAGGTCAGGGTCATTGTATAGCTTCAAATCCACAGCATTCAATGGTGCCAGGTACTCAGAGCAGGCACCATCCATTTCAGAGCTGACAAAGTGCAGGTCCACTGGCAATGCTCTCCCCAGTGCTTCCATGGCCAGTGTCACAGCAGGGCCCACCCGTGGCCAAGCCCAGGCGTAGCTTAAGTTGTGTTCAGGCAGCACCACTGCCAGTGTTAGATTCCGGGGCTCAGGGGGGCGTGCCCCACCCACCAAGGCTGCCAGCATCAACAGGATTGGGGGCAGCGCCATGAGGAGAAGGCAATTGCCCCACAGCCTCTGAACTCTGAAGTCCCTTTTGGCCTATAAGGGAAAGACACAAACCCCAGCCTAAGACCTCAAGGCACAAGGCTAGGGCAGGGGGAACTAGGAGATAGTTGGGGAGACTGAAGCTGGGACAGCTTAGGCCTAGAAAAGGAAGATAAATAGTAAGCTAGAGAAAAGGACCATGAAGGAAAGTAAGGATGGAGTTGGGGATGAGAGGACCTGAAGCTATAGTAGGATAGAGGGCCTGGGGCTGGAAGGGGGGGAAGGGGGCCTAAGAAAGGAGAAGCTAAGAGGGGCCTTATGCTGAGGAAAAAAAAGAGATCTAAAGCTGAGGGAACCCCAGGCACTTAAAACTAAAAAGTAGAAAGGGGTCTGGGGCTAAGATGAGGCAGGAGTGTAGGGCTCGGGGGGTGCTGGGCCTGGGGGACTGAAGCTGAGGCAGAGTGGTTCAGAGAAGCGGCCTGGGGGACTGGGGGGATCGTACTCACAGTTGAAGGGGATAAGGGGGAGAGGGAGGTAGAAAGGGACCAGGAGGAGGCACAAGGGGTTGTCAGTGTTGGGAAGGGGCTTAGGCCAGGGAGCAGGAGGGAAGGGAGGAAAGAAGGAGAGGGTAAATGTCCCTGGAAAGGCTTCTCCCGAAGCTCCCGCTGGAGCTGACCTAGCGGACCAGGGCGCTGGTCCGGTCTGAGGCTGCGGCCCCACCCGTGTCCCGGTTCCGCTCCGTGGCGCTCGGCTTCGGTGTCCTGACCTGCGCTCGCTGCCGCTTCCTCCCGTCCGGGCCCCCAGTGTGCTCGGCCAGGTCCGCCCGGCCCGGCCCGGGCCCGTCTCTGCTCGCTGCGCCGGTGGCGGCCGAGTGCGACTCCCGGGGCAGGCCGCCCGCCCCCTCCCGGCGCCTCCCTCCCGAGGCCCCTGCCCCCGCCCCCACCCCAACAGCCCCTCCTCCTCCCCCTGCCGGCCCCACCCTCCCGAAGCGGCGCCTCCTGCCTCCCACCAGTGCCGCCCTCCGGGACAGGGCTCGGCCCCCTCGGGAGACCCGCCGAAGGCGGCCCCCTCACCCAAAATGGCCTGCAGTGACTCTTTATCCTAAAGGCCCTGAATACCCCCAGCGCCGGACCAGCTTTCCCAGAAAGCTACACATCTCTCCCGGAGTCTTAATACACACCCATCCTTACAAGCATCTCTCCCCTGAGACCCTCTTGGCATCTTCACCCCTACACTTTCCCAGGGCCTCTCGGAATAGTCTGTCTGTTCCACAGTCCCCAATTTCTCCAAAAGGTGACCTAGAACCCCAAGGTTAACCTATTTTCGCCCACTAAACCCTGCATCTTTTTAACTTTCTTCAGGACACCCTTTTCTGAGGGGCTGGCTGGAAACATGCATTCCTAGAAGGCTTTCAGGTGATATTTTCTATTTCGCTTTATATGCCTTCCCTTTCACTCCTTTTTGTATCTCCAGGTCACTGAAGGCCCCTCAGCTTCCCAACAAACATGGGATTCTTATCTCCCTACTAGTGCTACAAAGGCTTGTAAGCCTCATCTCTCCTCTCTTGTCTTTGCAACTTCCAAGCCCATGTCTTATAACCCCTTATGGTTTATATTGCTGCATCTAGGGAAGAGAAGAAGTACAGAGGCAGGGTGGGCCAGTGGGAAAAGCCCTGACTTTGGAGTCATACCCCTCTTACTACCTGTCTAGCCTCCAGTCACTTAACCACCCTGTGCCTCAGTTTCTTCATCTGCCAAATGACCAATTGTACCAGATGGTCCCTGAGCTCCTCTCCATATGCTATGATACTATCTGTTCCTTTGTCTTGCTGATTGGTTTGTACATTGCCCCACTGTGCTCAGCTGCAGAGGTGCTTAATCAATCTTTGCCACTAAGCAGACTTTCTTACTATGAAAATTCATTCCAACTCAAGGCCAGAAGGACATTTCTTTTGGTTCAACAGGAACAAAGTGAAAGACAGAATATAATTTACCCCAAGTCCTCAACAAGTCACCTGAACTGGGCCCCAAAGTCTTCACTTCCAGTTTTATGCTCTCGCTTTGAACCATGGCTCCTTTCTTTCCTCCCTGTAAGTCTAATTCCCTTCTAAGGGTACTGCTCTATTCCTAAAGAATGACTTATCATATTACAAATCATGCCATGATTCCTTGATTCCATGATTCATGAGACCTTGAGGAATTCCTTCTTCAAAGAGAAAAAATGCAGCTTAAAAACTCACTTTCTTCCCCCTGAAAGTGAATCCTGGCCAAACAACACGGCCCCTCAGCTAGCTCTAGATGCATGTCTTATGATTCTTTGCCTCTGATATTTCTACCCATTCCAGCCACAGTTAACATAAGTCACTGCCCTAGGAGAGCTCCTAGGCAGACAGCATGCAGTTTCTCTGAAATTAAGGCGACATCTGGTGGTTACAATGTGGAAATTCAGTATAAATTCAATTCAATAAATTCTTATTTACTGACGATCGACTGGGCTTCCCGAACTTTGGGGGATATAAGAAAGGTACATAACAAATCTGGTGTACAGTTATCTAAGCCAAAACCATATACGTTGTGTAAGCACTCAATCAGTGAGGCGAAAAACAAATCTGTCTTATCTTGGATAACAATGAAAAGGAGGAGGAAGAGGCAGCCCAGAAAGAAACAACTGAGATAAACGTAGCTGTAGTCAGAGATTAAGCAAATAACATTTATTAAGCACTCATAAACAACATTTTGTAGCAGGTATTGTACTTGCCCAAAAATAACAGTCTCTTCTACCCAGAAGAGTACAATCTAATACAAGAATGATGGGTTTTGGACACTCAAGAGTCACACGACTGCCTACAAACCTACCAGAAGCTAGCTAATTTTCTGAATGTGACAAAAAGCAATTCATTTTATGTCAAAGAACCTGAGTCAGAATCTGTACCTGTTTGGAGCCCACTGCATCTGGGGCCATCTCAGTCACCCTGATCTATATCTTGCCACTGGACCCAGATGGCTCCAGAGGAGAAAGTGAGACTAGTGACTTTGCACAGCCCTCTCTCACTTAATACCAATTCACTTGCAAGTCACAACATCACCATCCTGATGCTACGGTCCTCTTTGAGAATTAAGGCCAAACAACAACAACAACCTGTATGGACAAGTCATTAACCTCTCCTCTGGAATCATTTCTTCATCTGTAAAATGAGGGAATTAGACTGGATTATCTCTAAGGTCCCTTACAACTTTAAATCTGATGAACAAATTCTATTTTGTGCTTCTGGCATAAATCTTGTCTATACTTCTGATTATTATCACTGAAGTTTATTCTTATCATCTGGGGGCTGAAATTCCAGTTTCAGGTAATACAATTTTAGTTATATGGTAACCTCACTGTAATCCTTACAAGCCTGAGTAGTTTCAGGACTCTTACAAGTCCAAGTGGCTTCTGTTGTCCCACATATATACTCCTCAACTTTCTACTCCCCTGGGAAGGGCCAGCCTAAACAGAGGCTGGATTCCTAGCTCTGGATCCAAGTATGTGGAATGTCTCATATTGAGACACATTGAGGGAAAGACAGGGTCCTAAAGGTTAATGTGGTTTGGGGCCACTCCTAACTCCACAAGAATAACACACAGGCCAGAGGAACTGAATTCTAGGAAAACCAGCAGGGTTCAAGTTCATGATAATATAAAGTGAACCCCAAACCCATACCTCCAAAGTCTGAACCCCAGTACTCTCCAGAAACATCTTAAAACTAACCTGATGTCCCAGACAGAGATGAATTGTGAATTCTCAGGTTTGCTTTGGACAAGAGGAACAAAACCTCAAAACATAACCTCCTCTGTGGTCTCCAGGATTCCAGGGCAATAAGTGCCCCCTGCCCACATTAGTCACCTGTCGACTGCGTGCTGCTGGGTCTACACCAAATCAGAATATTTGCGATCTTCTTTCTTCACATCAGATGGGACAGAACACCAAGAGAATCTGCCACAAAAACACAGAAGAGGTTTGAGAAATAAAAGAAACCAATAAGGTATATTTCAAAGTAATGCTTTTCAATATGGAAAAAACAGATGGGGAAGAGAGGTAGGGAATAGAAAGGGTTCATGAAAAAAAAGTTGGAGTTTATTTAAATTTTTTTATAGATCACTTTCTCTTTTTGCCCCAGCCAGGGTAATAGGCAAAGAAGATTCCCATAATCCCAGCCATGAGGCCACTACTGTGCCCTAAACCCACATACACACATCCCCAAAGGGCACGGTTACCCTGTAGGCAATAGGGTATATTGTAGGATAGACCCCCTATGACCAGACCAACTTCATTTAAACCTTAGGACTGAGGGCCTGCCAACAGAGCTGCCATAAATGTCCAAAAGGAAAATGGCTACTAAGCCCTGAACCAGGAACACAGACATGGACTGGAGTATTCAGTATAAGTCATTTCCTTTGTTTTAAACAGCCTCCCCTCAACAATCTATGAATTATCAAATCTGTAAAATCTAATCCATATGCTAAGGAATTTTAGCTTGCATTAACACATACTTTTTTTAAGCTAACAAATTTCTACAATGGTCTAAACATTTAAACTTATTCAAAAACATTTTAAAAGCAGACTCTGGCTCCCAAAATACTTGCCTGGATCAGAAAGGCCTGCTTCAAAGAAGGATATTCCAAGGAAGTAGGGCCTCCAATCTTAGCTCCTAATGTTGGAATTTGAGAATTGTCAACAGAAGTGATCATAAACATCTTCAGTATCCCCAGAAACCAAGTAAACCCAAAGCCGTCTGCCCTGCATCCAGGCCTAAAAAAATACAGTCCAATAAATGTTTACTACATGCCATAGCATTCCTTTTATTGAAGCTGTACAAAATGAAACTATAAACATTCAAGGACAAATGACTTATATAAGCCTGTAAATTATAGATATATGAAAGGTTGTTAATAAAAAAGATATGGATGATTTAAGTAAACATAACCTGAGCCTACTCATGGAGGCAACCAATCTGCCCTTCCATGAAGAATCTCCTAATGTTTTCAACAACAGAACACTGTGCTACATGAACCATGATGGTGTTTCTCCTGTTCTTGTAGGGAGATGAGTAGGGTCTGTTCTTCCTTGAGATCATAAAACACAGGTACACGAGCATTATGTAATGGAAAGAGCCTCTGCCTGTACTTGAAATCAGAGGATCTAGGTCTGAATGCCCATCCTACTATCTAATATGATTTTTATTTAGGCAAGTCACTTTAATTCATCGAGTCTCATATTCCTCATCTATAAAATGAGGGGGTTGGAATATATGATTTCTAATGTCTTTTCCAGCTCTAAAAACCTAAAATTTATCATCTTCCTACTAAGACAACTAGATGGTATAGTGAACAGAGCGCTAATCTTGGAGCCTTCCTGACTCCAGAGTTCAACTCTGACCTCAGACACTTAGGAGCTGTGTGGCCCTAGGAAAGTCAATTAACCTTTGTCTGGCTCAATCATGGGGACAATAATAGCCCCTACCTCCCAAGATTGTTGTGAGGATAAAATGAGATAATATTTGTAAAGTGCTTTGCAAAACTTAAAGTGCTATAAATGCTGTTATTGTTTGTCATTGTTGTTGCTAAAAGTGTCATATGAACACTACTTGCTTCTTCATACATCAGAGGAAAAGCTGGAATGGAACTGTGACTCCATTCCTATCACCTACAGCTGAAAATATCCCATAATCAATTTACTGAAAGTAACTAAATCCTTTGCAGTGGAAGAAATTTGATGAGGACATCCCAGTAGATTGATTCCCCTCTCCCCATTTGCCAAAATTATAGAAGATAAGGAACAGGTGATAGAAATAACAAGCTATTAAGGAGTTAAATGAATTGTAAAGAAGTGTTAACCCTTCTACAAGGTGTGAAGAAGTTATTGGGTCAACCAAGATGAAATGAAACAATACTTTAAAAAACAACATAGCTGCCAAGGACATAGTCAAAACATCAGGTTGGAGGAGCTGCATGTCCAAAAGTTATCCCTACTGTGAGGAGTCAAGATGCAGAGAAGCTCAGGTCCAGAGAACCCAACTGAGCTTATCTATAGAGAGGGGACACTGTGCCCAGGGGGAAGAGCATGAAGACACCATGAGAAGGTTGTTGAGCCCGAGATCTGGAGGTATAAGTTTCCTGTGCCATATGACTTCTCCATATGTGTGCTGCTCTACAAAGTAACTTTCTGTGAGTCCCCATTCTATGGGAGAATATGCTCTAGGTTTATGGAGACAATGTTTTATATCTCCTATTCTTAGAATATCATCTCAATAAATGCCTTTGCTTCAAGCTAATTACATTCTCTGGTTGGATATTAAAGGCAGTAAATGGTTAGAGTTCCTATAGAGTATTTGGAATCTGGGTTAGTCATCCAGCCAATTTGTGAGTGCACCACCAGAGGTGGGTGATACATTTTAACAAGAGGAACTAAGAAATGTGTCCTTGGTGTGAGGCTCAAAAGAGGACAACAACAATATAATCAACACTTATATTTAAATTTTAGATTTTAAGCTATTTTGATAAAGTCCAAAAAGAAAATTTTGAATCTTCATGTTAAGGCCCATTTATAACACACAAAGCCATAACCCTTAGACCCAGTAATACTACATACTAGGCCTATTACCCAAAAGAGATCAAAGAAGAGGAAAAGGACACATACATACAAAAATATTTATGGTAGCTTTTTTGTTGTTGCAGCAAAGAAATGGAAACCATGAGGGTGCTCAAAAGTTGGAGTATGACTAAACAAATTATGGTATATGAATGTAACAGAATACTATTAAGCTTTAAGACAGTGGTGTCAAACTCGAACAGAAACAAATTCCTATAGGCACATATTAACTTAGAAAACCACATCTTGACATTATGTTGTATTGTATTCTTACCTATTTTGTTAAACGTTTTCCAATTTCATTTTTATATGGTTCTCACCACGCTCCCTCAGGCTGCCAGTTTGACACCTCTGCAGTAAGAAATGATGAAATAATGGTTTCAGAGAAACTTGGGAAGACTTGTATGGAATGATACAGAGTGAAGTCAACAGAAACAGGAAAACAATTTCTACAGTAACCACATTATAAAAACAAATCATTTTGGATGACAAAAAATTCCGATCAACACAATGATCAGACACAATTCCATGGAACCCATGATTTAGAGTCCTGACAGAGGCAATGAACTAATATGCAAAGTAAGATATACATTTGTGGACATTGGCCAATATGGGAAATTTTTTTTTGCTTCACTATGCATATTTGTTACAAGGGTTTTGCTTTTCTTTTTTTAAATGGAAAGGGGTTGGAAGGGAGAAAAAAATACATTCTTGACCACTGAAAAAAATAAAATTTAATTAAAAAAAAGAAAAGCCATACTTACCCAAATGCAAAATGGGCCATAATAGTACACATTTTATCAACCAATCTCTGGTTGGAAAAAAAATCATAGAAATAAAAAACAACTGAAAGGTTACAGAGTCCAACACATTCATTTTACAGATGAGGAAACTGAGGTTCAAAAGAGATATAGTGACTTCCCCAAGGCCACAAAGAAGTAACATCTCTTACACCACACTCCTCTCATGGCTCCCACCCCAGTTCAGGACATCACATTTGTAACACAGATTATCTCCATACCCTCCTAATTGTTCTCTCTGCCTTCCAGTTTCTCTCCACTCCACTGTATACTCTGCAAAACTGCCACAGTGATATTCCTAAGGCACCGTTCTGACCACATCACTCCCCTGCTCAAGAAGTTTCAATGGCTCCCCCTATTGCTTCTAGGAACAATGACAAACTCTTTTTAAAAAACCTGTCACAATCTGGCTCCTACTTCCAGTCTGCCTTTCCAGGTTTACTATACTACAGTTCCCTTCATGCATTCTATATTCCTGTCAAATTGGCCTACATGCTGTCCCTCAAACATGATATCCCCCCTCCCATGCACCCCCTGACTCTGTACTGGCTATCTTCCATGCCTGAAGTGCATTCCCTCTTCCTCTACACCTCCTAGAATCCCTAGCCTTATTCCAAGCTCAGCCCCAGTGCTACCTTCTCCCGGAAACTCTTCCTGACACCAGCTGCCAGAGCTACCCCTGAAATTAACTTGTACTTACTTTGTATATATTTGTATTTATCTGTATATCAACATATAGATGTTAGTTCCTGGAGAACAGGGACTGTTTCGTTTTTGTTTGTACACCCAGTGCCTGCCACATTGTAGTTGCTTAATAATTAATTGAATTACTATATTAATCATTCACCCAGATTAATCTTCCTTATGCACAAAACTGATCACTCCCTTTCTCAAAAATGTTCAGTGGATTCTTAGTATAGTAGAAATAATGATGGTTTGAGTTATAGCTCTGCTATCTTCACTACCTTTGTAATCATGAATTTCCTGTTGCCGGTTAAAGTCAAGACTCCTTAATTTGGCATTAGAGGTGCTCCACAGATTGACACCCAGAGGAAGCCACTGCATGCCAATACATTTATGAAGGCCGCTTGAGAATCCCCATATTTAGTCCCCAAATTCTTCCATCAGCTCTGAGGGATGTAAGCATCCTTAGGAAAGAATTCAGGAATGGCTAGAACTAGTTCTTCAATGTTGAAGATATTTGATAGTGCTTGCTATATGATCTTCAGCAAATCCCTCTGTTTCTCTGAATCTGTTTCCCACTCTGTAAAATGAATGAGTTAGGTGATCTCTGGGTTCCTTCCAGTTCCAATATTCCCTGATTCTAGGAATGGTTCAGGGACCTTAAATGGGTCTAGAGATAGCTCAGAAGACAAAATTGGCCCTTCCAGGGAGAACAGGGTGTCCACACAGTGAGAAGAAGTGACCTAACAGGGTTAGTGGCCAACTACTCCTAAAGAAGTAACTGTTCCTCAGTTACTGTAACTAACCCCTCAGTTATTATACAATAGACTTGGGGGTCTGTGAATTTAAAAAAATATGTTTTGGTAATTATTTCAATATAATTTATTTCCTTTATAATCCTTTTTATTTTATACCTTTTAAAATATTATTTTGCTAAATGGTCACCAGCCAACAAATGGGTTTCATGACAAAAAAATGTTTAAAACTCCTACTGTAGAATAATTACTGACCTCTTTCTCTATCTACTCTTAAGCTTCTTGGCAATTTTTGACCCAATCTTAAGGGAAATCACATCATACATTCCTCATTAACCCATAGGAAAAGCAGCAGACATCTCCTATTGCTGGTCCTTTTTGAGTTTCCTTGGGCTCAGGTGTGCTATTTCCACTGCTGGCCTCCAAATCTGCTGTATGTCTTTGACCCTGACCTCTCTTCTGAGCCTCACTTGCATTTCTGCCTCCTGGATAGCTCTACCTCACCATCCTTCATCTTTCCTTTCTGCTAACTCCCTACAGCTCTCAGTGCCCCATACTCATAATGCTATAAAGTGGGATCTCTCAAGATATTTCCAACTAAGAGAGGGCTTCAGTTAAGAGTTTCTGAGCTTCTCTAGGCTGGATGTGAGGTTTCTAAATACAAATACAACATAGATGTTGTTAATTTGTGGTTTTCTAAGTTGACATGTGCCCACAGGGATCTGTTTCAATTTGAGTTTGACACCACTGGTGTGCATCATATTGTACCAAACCTCCCCATTATGTTACAAGCTTGCTGAGATAAAAACTTTTCAACTTTATATCTCCAGTACCTAGCACAGTGGTTTGCTTTTACATCTCCTAGAGCTGGCTGACAGCCTTGCTGAGACAGAGACTATTTAGCCCTTGAGTACTCCGCTCTATCATATCTTTAGGGATCAGTAAAATAGCCTGATGCTAGATTTTGGGGGTTGACAAGTGAACAGATTTATAGGGTTTGTAGTTTGTCTGGTCCTGGAGATTTGGTGCCTAGCAAGGTCAGTAAGAGCTGGCTTGTGGGAAGTGCAGACTGCTATAGTTTTTTGTGTTTTCCACTGAGCTAAAGTAGGAAGCTCCTCAGTCTCACTCTCTGTTCTGTTCTGTTGTGTCTTGCTCTGTCCTATATCAGCATTCGAATAAACCCTATCCTATGACTAGAATGTACTTTTTCCTCATTTCTGCTTATTGAAGTACTTCTTTGGAGAAGCAGCTTGGCATGATGGAAGGAGTATTTGATTTGGAGTCACAGGGTCTGAGTTTGAGTCTCACTTTTGTTTCTTGTTTGGCAGGTCACTTCACCTCTCTCTTGGCCTCGGTTTCTTATCTGTAAAACGAGGGGGTTGGACTCAGTGACTTCTAAGCACCCTTTTAGCTCTAAACAGGGGATCTTCTGATTTTCCTCTGAGGCCCTGCTCTGGTGCCACCTTTTCTAGTAAGCTTTCCCAGATCTTACCAACTGAAAATGATCTCTTCTTAAAATTTCCTAGAGTACTTTGCAAGAGTATTCTTTTGCGTTTCTATTTTAGCCAGTGTTGTACTTCTTTGTGGACTTCACATTTCCTTCCATTAGATTATAATGTAACACCAAGAGCAGTGTTGGTTTTTCATCATTGTATTCCTAGTACATGGCATAGTTCCTTGAACAGAGTAGGTACTTTATAAATATTTTCTGAATTAGGAAAGCAACAGGTCAGGCCTCCTGGCCCATGGGAAATGGCTGAACGTGGCCCTCTGCGCTCAGAAGAGATGACAGCACCTAAGTCTGGTGGGGTTAGTGATATATATCACAACTATATTCTGGGTTCTGATATAGAAAGAAGGTTCTAGAGCTCTGAGAAGCTCCCTGGAAGCTCTGAGAGTTAAGAATTTGTCAGCCTAGTCCCAAGAGACTTTGGAGATGGAAATAGAATTGAATATTTAGGAGACATGGCCAGGAGAGGTCTCAGTAGTTCACAGAGAATAAATACAGCCTCTGGAGCTTAGGGAAGACAGGAGATGAGTCTAGGCCAAAGTTCAAGCACTCCTTCCGTGGAGATTCTTTAAAGGCTAGTTGAAGCCAAATTATGCAGTAAAGTAGGACATGATTTTAGCCAAAAGGCAAAGAAGTAATATATCTCTTGAACTTGTCAATCATGAAATGCATGTGCATCTGGTCAGAAATGAAGTGTACCAGAACACCTTGTGTAGTATTCTTTGCAGAACTAAGTCTGGGTGAGGAAGCTTAAGGATCTCTCCCCTAATGTATATGAACCCTCATTCAGATATAGCTGATGGGGTAATATGGAACCATGTGGCATTTGAGTCCTAGGACTGAAGGAGAAGCAGCTTCTAATTCCATGCAATAAGCTGCCTGTGCTTCTTGGTCCACTAGTCCAAGGGTAGTGTTGTGATGGAGTAGAAAGGCCTGGTTAGTGAGACTGTTGAGGTATATAGTAAGAAGAAGCTTAAAAACAAGATTTGCTGTTTAAGGTAGTGCTGCCAGAGATCTGTGGCAATCATTAGAGCTGGGGCGGGGGCATGTTTATGGGAGATGACAGAAATTTGATTGGTGGAGCTGTAAATGTGGGGTTGGTAGAATCTAAAAGGATTTAAGTGGGTCTGGAGAAGCTAGTATCTGCTGCTTCAAAATGTAGTTTGGAGCTCCTGAAGGGATTAGATTGGCATTTTGGCAAGAAATGGCTGGTGGTGAGCTGCCCCATGAGCTTTAGGTCCTTGGCAACAGCACCACAATAATAGGGTTTTGGTCCCAGATAGGGAAGCAAAGTACAGTAATGGCTTTTTCCTCCTGTAACCAAGCAGCTATCTCTTCTTTTATAAGGCAGTCAGCCGACAAGGCTAATAGGTCTGGGTATAATGGCTACATACTCTCTTTGTGAGCGTCCAAGCTGTTTTGGAGCTCAGTGTAACATCAGAACCATAGAGTTAGCTGATGACGTGACAGACCAAGCCAAGGATGTCAGAGACTCGAGACAACTTGGACTCTGGGGTGGGGCAGACAATCAGAGAATGCAGTCCTCCTTTCCCATCCCCTTTAAAAGAAAATCTGAGAGTAGAAGTCTCCATAATGTCTTTC